CCTCCCCCTCATTCCAATCTTTAAGGGAGTGGGTCGGAGGCTGACAGTTTCTCTCACACTGCATTGTCTCCACCACCAGATGATCGTCCAGCGACTCTTTACTGTATTCACAGAAGTTATGGAGAACAAAGCAGGCAACAATCACATGTGGCAGGTCCTTCAGGTTGATGTCCATGGGCCTCTTCAGAGCCCCATACCTGGCCTTTAAACGCCCGAACGCACACTCGATGACCGCATGCGCCTTACACAAGCAGGTGTCGAAGTACTGTTCCTGCGGCGTGGAGCCACCGTTTGAGTACTCCTTCATTAAATACGGCAACAGAGGGTAGGCTGGGTCAGCAACTAGATACACTGGGATCGCCTCCTCCTCGTCCACGACCTGTTTCTTCACAGGTGGAACCGTGCCGGTCATAAGGTCTTTGTTCAGCTGCGAGTTCGCAAACACCCGTGCGTCGTGCACTCTCCCGGGCCACTTTACCACCACATCCATGAATCGGTACCTGTAATCACACACGGCCTGCACGTTGATGGAATACGTGCCTTTACTGTTAATGTAGTCCGTGGAATTGCTGGATGGCTGCTTGATTTCCACGTGGGTGCCGTCGACTGCTCCCAAACACTGTGGCATACCGTGAGCACGGTGAAAGCCCGAAACTAGTTCCTCCACCTCTGGTTCTGTAAAAGGCAGTTTGATGTATTTTGGGCCCATGTGGAAGACTATAGCGCTACATACCTGCCGAATTATACAAGATACAGACGACCGCGACACGCCAAAGGCGTTCGCCGTCTTCCTTACCCTGTCCTCGCTGCTCAAATAAAACACTGTTATTGCCACCCTCTTCAGCGGGTCGATCGACGCCCTCATGTTCGTCGTTTGTAATTCTATATACGGGCGAAGTTCTTCAGTCAGGGCGAAAAGAGACGCCCTGGACATGTGAAAGTTCTCCCTCCATTCACTATCCACAACAGCGCCATCAACAAAGTTGTTCCACCAACTATTGGATCTGCCGGGTCTTATCCACACTGTTCTTCTGGTCCTTCTGGTTTCTCTCCGTGGTGTACCCATGAGCATGTAGCATATTGTGTTTCGCATAACCCTCTGCTGCTCAAGATGGAAGTCCAAAAGTGGAATAATTAGCTGTAACACAGCAAGTTGCTGAATTAGCCTCTCTAGCACGACCACAAGTAGCCTGGCGTCCGCCATTGTTGTTATTGTGTGACGTCGAGAGAGGCGGGGCTGACGGGGTGAAAGGTCTCACCCTGACAGACAGACAGACAGACAGATAGATATACAGTATGTATGTAGATACATCTATCTTGTATGTACACTAAGAATACCACATTATCTCTATGGTATGTATATGTATAACCAAGCAGAACTAGTATAATTCTAATGCTACTAATGTTATGTGAACTGGTATGTAAATACAAGTTTAAATGTATGAACAGTATACATAGTTGAGTAATTCAATAATTAAATTAGGTAAATTAGATGCTGTGTCCACACAGAACGGGAGAAGTCAAACTAGTCCACTCTGGGACATGTATTCATGTCCCAGAGTGTCCCCTTCCCTGCCGCCTCTTTCAAAACAAAAAACAAACAGAAAAAATATGTATAAACCATGTAATGTTAGCAATAACAAAGGCTGGGTTATGTATTATGTACAGAAGTGGAAGACAACAAAGGAGCACAGGGCAGATATACTGCCCCCTAGAGTTCCTAGACAAATCGACAGGAGCAAAGAGAAGGGTTTAAAAAAGAAGTCCTTCCACGTTTCACCACCGGGCTCCAGCTTGGACTTTTTCTTTGACTTCCCAGAGTTGAACAGAGCCTCGGTCTTTGTCATCTCACTCCTGTTCTCAGTTCAATCCGACAACCGTTATTTCAAACACATTCCTCAAAGTTCTGTCCAGTGTTTTCTATTTCACACTCTGGAAAATTGAATCTTTTTCAAAACAAACTTTCCTCCTGGGAAAAACAGTCAGCATTGAGAATATTAAGTGTGATACGCCCCCCTCCCTGACCCTCCTCCCCTTCCTCCTCCCCAGGGTCACTGAGAGAAGCACGGCCCCACAGCCTCATTTAAAGAGTGATTCCATGACAGCCATCTGTGGAACATCAGACAGAGACAGAGACACCAACACCAGGTTCAACCAGGAAGATGATATTGGCCGACATAGCAGTTCTGGTATTTTTGGGAGGGGGCTGTTTGCTGTCATCACTTCATCAGCGGACAATCTTGTCCACCGCGGAGCGACGATGACGCACAAAGGCTCAGCCAATCACTGACTATTAAGTCATTAAGGTCTGTATCTGGGAGACAAGTCAGACACAAACATGGACGCACAAAGGCTCAGCCAATCACTGACTATTAAGTCATTAAGGTCTGTATCTGGGAGACAAGTCAGACACAAACATGGAAGAGAACTAGTCCACCGGTCAAACCAACATTATTAGGTTAGAGAACTAGTCCACCGGTCAAACCAACATTATTAGGTTAGAGAACTAGTCCACCGGTCAAACCAACATTATTAGGTTAGAGAACTAGTCCACCGGTCAAACCAACATTATTAGGTTAGAGAACTAGTCCACCGGTCAAACCAACATTATTAGGTTAGAGAACTAGTCCACCGGTCAAACCAACATTATTAGGTTAGAGAACTAGTCCCTCTGTCGTCTACTCTTCACGGTCCACTGTCTTCTGTGAATGATCTTCATGAATAAAGTTCGGTTCAACAAAGACAGCGGAAACAGGAAGAGGAAGAAGAAAAGATCTGCTTCATCCACAGCCACTTCCACGAAGTCTCTGTCGTTCTTGGAATTCTTTGATTCTCTAAATCCGTCACTATTCCAGTCTGTTGTCCAGCTGCTTTGACAAGGAAGTCACTCTTTTACTGCCGTGAAAACATCGCACACCTTCAAAATAAAGGCGCAGAGTTCTCCAGTGCTGTCTGTGCATTTCCACGTATAAATAAAACGTCACAGCCACAAATTTGAAACAAATCTGACATATTTACAGTTAGGTTGATAGATATGTAATTGTGGTTTGAAAAAGTCTTATCATTCTGTCATCTCCAGGTGGCGCTGTTTTTTATTATTAGGCTGATGTAGCCATAACTGCCACTACTGTTTCATTACCTAAAGAATCAGAAGGAGGCGCTCTTAGTTCTTACTAAGATTTAAACCAGTGTGACAGCTAGCTCGTAGCTAACCCTTACTAAGATTTAAACCAGTGTGACAGCTAGCTCGTAGCTAACCCTTACTAAGATTTAAACCAGTGTGACAGCTAGCTCGTAGCTAACCCTTACTAAGATTTAAACCAGTGTGACAGCTAGCTCGTAGCTAACCCTTACTAAAATTTAAACCAGTGTGACAGCTAGCTCGTAGCTTCTAACACTGTTCCAGCGGCAACACAGGGTCCAAACATTTAATGAGAAAAGACCTGGAGGAAGTGGACGTGTGTTCTTGTTACAGTGGAGTTGACAGTGGAGTGTGTGCAGCAGCTGTGAGCCCCGCCCCTTCTGCTTCATCACCAGCTGCTGTCAGTGGACACACACACACACACACAGAGGACAGAGGACAGAGCTGAAGCTGACGTTCTGATGGCTAACCCTTCTTCTTTTAAACACACACTCCTGCTGATATGAAAACACACGGACTATGGACCGGATGTGGAGAAGTTGTCAAATCCTGCTGTTTCTCACTGTCTTAACGGAAACATCGCTGCGTGAAGAGGAGGAGACGACGACGTCCTGTGATGGAGCCTTCGATATTTACTTTGTTCTGGACAGGTGAGGACCACACGGCACCGAGTGTGTGTGTGTGTGATTACAGTGGATACCTAGCCATGTATGGATGTGTTCAGCAGTAACAGCAGCAGCAGCAGTTGAAGGTTCAAATCCAAGTTTATCTCAGCTGCTGCAGCTGAACAGAGACAAGTTCAGCTGGAGACAAACATCTGTTGCTACAACGATGGCTTTAAATTCGTCTTTAAAAATTAACTTTTTTTTTAATAAATGAAAAATGCAGACATTCACTTTTCATGTGCTAAAGGTTAGCTACTGTATGTCTCGACCTGTTTCAATAGTTTCTTGTCAAAAGTGATTTCTTTATTCCGTAGCCTGTTGCCAATCTGTGGCAATCTTTTAGCCAAACATTGTCAACTATATGTAGCCGTTTTTAAAAGCATTCATTTTGAACAGTGGATTAATGAGGTTTTCATTAATTATTAAATAATCAATTCAAATGATTCACCTTTGAACTCATTCAGCGTCAGTTTAGGCTAAAGATGTTTTGGCTACTGTTAGCTTCTTCTCCATAATTCAGCACCGTGTGTCCCTGCAGGTCCGGCAGCGTGTCAGGACACTGGGACGAGATCTACGGGTTTGTGGAGCAGCTCACCCACAGGTTTGTCAGGTACGTGGACCAGCTGCAGCTCCTGGTACTGGTACTGGTACTGGTACTGGTACTGGTACTGGTGCTGGTACTGGTACTGGTACTGTGGAATCAGTGGAAATATAGAGACGGTCGGAGGTCGAGCCAAACACCAGGGCTGTGTAGAGAAGCAGGCATCATACCAGCAACGCCCCCCCCCCACCCCCCGGTACTACAGTAATGCAATAATGTGAGAGAGATATGAGAGAGGGAGAGAGATCGTCAGGGTTTATAATGGGTTTCTACATATAAGGGGTGACGCCGACCACCACAGACTGTCAGTCGTTTACACAGTAAAGACAGTGGTACAAAACAGTACTGAACTGATTCCCAAAGTGTTTTTAATGCTAAGCTAATCCATGATGCTAATCCACATTTGTCTCACGACGTCCTAACGTTGTTATGTCGTTCGGTCAAATGTCATCGTCTGTTCCACTGTTGTACCAGTGAGTCCCAAGGTCTGGCTCTGGGACCACAGATGGACCTCAGGAGACTTTCCTGTGGTGGCCAAATATTTTCTTTGTCATGTATTTAGATGTACAGTACTTTAGATGTACAGTTTAGATTTTAGATGTACAGTACTTTAGATGTACAGTACTTTAGATGTACAGTACTTTAGAAGTACAGTACTTTAGAAGTACAGTACTTTAGATGAAATGTATTACTTCAAAAAGAACATGTTAAAGTTTCTCCACATCTGTGATGTAAAAACACAAAGTACATTTGAGTCGAGTGCAGTCACTTTCCTTTTGGATAAAGGTGTGTGTGTGTGTGTGTGTGTGTGTGTGTGTCCTCCAGTCCCAGGATGAGAGTTTCCTACGTGGTCTTCTCAGCCAGAGCAGCAGTGGTCCTCCCTTTGACAGGAGACAGGTATACTCCTCCTCCTCTCTTCCTCCTCTCTTCCTCCTCCTCCTCCTCCTCTCTTCCTCCTCCTCCTCCTCTCTTCCTCCCCTCCTCCTCCTCCTCCTCCTCCTCTTCTTCACGGTGCTCCTGTGTCTCTGTCTCCTGACCAGGTCTAAGATAGACCATGGTCTACGGAGTCTGGCCCAGATCAGACCTGCTGGTGAGACCTACATGCATGAAGGTGTGAAGGCGGTGAGTTCAGTGGACAGATCCCT